GAGGAAATGCAGGATGGTGAACTCCATTCCATTTTTTGTTCCTTGTTTTCTTTTCAAATGCAATGAATGTACGTTGAAGAATGGCCACGTGGTTGGTTTTTAATTCTCCAAGTGCCCTGACAAACCATTCCTACCATAGTCTGGTGGTACTGGCCAATAAACAGCACAGGCCTAAAGACCTCAGGCAGAACAAGTTCATCGAGAGCCTCTCGAGATACAGTTGAAGTCGGAGCTGCATCCTTGTGCCATGGATCCATAAAGAAGGAAGCACTGCATAACACCCCAGGACATTTCATATGTTTTGTAGTTATCCTCTTCCCCTTGTTCTGAAAAGGGCCTAAATCCCCTAACACAAATTCATCTCCTCCCTGCCTGTATAGAACTAGGTGGGGGCTATTTACATTTGAGTTATTTAGGCTTTTTTTTTTTTTTTTTTAAGTTATAGATGAGAGCTCTTCCCTTCTTCCCTCCCTGCCCATCCAGGACTCCCTTCCTCATTCTCTATTCTTTAGACAGGGTCAGCACCTTAGCAGTAGGCATTTGTCCTGGATTTCAGTGTTCTGTGACCTAACTCCTATCATGCTGAACAGCTAAAAACTAGTACAAGCACCAGATCTTTACTCAGCATGGAGCCTAGCCCCATTTCAACATGCCAAGCCATTCTCAGAGCAGCTGTAGCTTACTCTGGGTTCGTCCATCTACATTAAATTAACACTGGTGTAGCCATATACACAGCTGAAGCCTGCTGCAGGACACTGGAAAATGCCTAGTTCTTCATGGATCACCGATGGTTTTGTACCTGCCTTCCTCACCAAGCGGCCACACTTATTCCAGGCACAAGCCTGGCAACATCCTGATGGAAGGGGCTTTTTGTGACAGGATAATTTTGAGGGGAGGGAATGGGCTGAAGAAAAGGGGGAATATAAGTGTAATTAAAGTTGCATTAATGAGCTGCAGCAATTAATTAAAAAACAAGCAAAAACCAGTGTCAGTTTTGTTACCTACATCTCCCAGCATGTTAAGCGTCAAGCAGAGAAAGAGCGCTTGTCAGCCAGCCGTGGCACGTTCCAAGTGTGGCTGTAGTTCTTTATTGTCTTGCCTAATCTGTTTGAGATTACTTGGCATTTTTGAGTAATGCTTTTCAGAAGAGTCAAGCTAGAAGCCATGCCAGGGAGGGGAAATGTGAGGGAAGAATTAAAAGAAATAAAAACATTAAGTGCTGAGTCAAAGACAGAATGATGCATCTTTCTTTGTCCCCTTCCAAAGGGCCCAGGAAGCAAAACCCTCTTCTATAAGTCTAAAAAGTATAAGCACTAAGAGAACATTTTTTGTTTCTGCGCAGCTTCCATTCCAGATACCCACGGCAATATCCTGAGTTCTGATCAGGTGCAACTGTGAGTAAAAATGTTGTCTTCTATAGGTATTTTTCCTTCTTTTAGCCAGCAGAAGCCTAGGCTGCTGACTGAGCAGAACAGACAGCTGACAGTTGCTGGTGTGATACTAGTTTCATCAGTTGAGGAAGAAAACACTCAACCCTCTTTAAAACAGCTCTGCCTGAGAAAACATAACTACTTCCCATATTAGTCAATACTGTGCCACTACCAAGTTAAAAAAAAATACCAGTGGAACACAAGCTTCTCCATTTAGACAGCACACATAGCTGTGTGCATACGCAATTTCTTAGCGCTTTCTCCACCCCTTCTTTGATTCAGTTCATTTCTGTATTATGCTCATTCCTACTCGCCCACCTGATGTTCCCTAGAGAGGCAGAAAAAGGAATGGAAGAATACATATCCTCTAGTCAATGAGACTGATCCATGAAAGGCTTCATTTATTTGGGGCTTTTGAAATTAGCCTTCCCTTTCCTCACCAGAAAGCACTGACTTTACACTTTTTGGTTTAATACGATTTCTTTTCCTGCGACAGAAATGTTGTCCATCAGACAGCAGCATTCTTTATTGGCCTTGTTTGAGAGCAACCAAAATTCAGCACAGATGGTGGAGAAAGCAGCTTCAGCTTTGAACAGCTGAAACATTTCACTAGTAGTTTCAGGAAGAAATTCTTCTAGATGGTCGTATGAAGTCAGAAGGAACTCCCTGAATTATTTTGAGGTATGGAGTTAAAAACATGCAGACATCTCCAACTGACCAAGCTTTGATGCCACATGTACTAAGAAAACTGATCAAAAATACTTGCCAAGTACTCTAAAGAGACTAAGCATCAAACCGTGCACTTAATGGCATGCCTCCTGACTGTAATACACACCGGTAAAGATCAATTAAATAAATACAAGTGTGATGACCGAGGAGCTCCATAACTACCACCCTATGTTATGATGAACACAGGTAATTAAGTATCTTTTAATAGAAGTAAAATAAAGGTTCAGGTAACCCTGTAGTATTTGGTATCAATGACTGCCACAAATCATCACAAAAATCAGTCTGAGAAGAAAGAAAATAAGACAAGCTACCAAGGATCATGTTCCACACTTAATTACCTCCTCTAGCTTTCATTAGCAGACCAGGAGTATGAAGGATGACTGCCTCTGCTTGTGCTAGACCTGCTCTAAGGACTGCGAGGTCATGCAATGACCCTGTTCTGTTAGGGCAGGGACTCCCGGTCGCTTGCCTCTCCAGCGTGCTGGAAGAGCAAGGAGCAGCTGAAGGTTTGCTCCAGTGGGTTCCCTTATCGCCAGGTTAGGAGTGCCCTCTGTTGGGGACAGGCATCACTGGAGAGGCTGCTAGTCAAAAAAAAAAAAAAAGAAAACAAACAACGTGTACCTGTTTCTGAAGGGATATCTTCCCATAGAAAAAACGGCTCC